GAGGAGGCAGCTGGATTCAGTCTGTCATTTCTAAGCAATACACATTTTCATAAGTTGACGGGGTACTAGCTTTACAAAAAAGTTATGAACTATGCCAAAAAACTTCTTGCTTTGCTTGGTCATATCTTCAATGACAAAACTTTCACTCAAAGTTGACACTGAGCAACAACAATCTACTGACTGCAAAATGTCCTCGCTGTTTAAAAGTAATAAATAATTCATCTTAAATAATTTTTCTACTGACTTCCAGACTTTTGGAGGCAATCAACTGCCAATTCTGCAACACATCAGCAGCAGTAAAACCTCTTGCTAGGAAGGCAGAGAAACTAAGACAGACTTACAAGTGTAGGTTTGCCAGTACATATTAATCTCTTGCCAATCCTTCCATTTACTTTCAGAAGCTGGACACCTATACGCAAACCTCTGAGGGGGAAAAAAAAACAAATAAACCCCAAGTTCTGCCCAGAGTATTTTTTTTTAGAAAGGCATATTTTGATATTTCTTGCGGAGCTCTATTAAAAAACTTTCTGGGCATGGCTATTATACAATGATTTTTCTCTTGGATCTGGCAGAGACAAAGTGCAAAACTGAGGGGAGGGAATTGAATACGTAATGGATTATTCCAAAGAATTACAGTCAGTGGGCTCCAGTTCTCTGTCCTTCCTTTGTAAGAAAACAGTTTAGTACCAGGAAGAATTTGTTAAAAATCAGGTCAAAGGTATCAATCTGTGTGTACCTGCCATCTTTCAATACTTCTCTCAGAGTAGGAGGACCAGAAATGACCAGCTGTTTTTCTGGGTAAGTGCAGCCAACAGGACATAGATTTTTGCTATGAGTGGTTGATACTCTATCCCTGAAGGAAGCACGAATCCACTCCAAACACTGATTGTAACTTCAGTCTCAGACAGACACCTTCAGCGCCAAAAGGAGCCTTGCATGCATCTGAGACCAGAATATGGCATAAAGGATTCCCTTTGGACAATTTGCATCAATTGGGGATGGCGTAAAGCAGAGTGACTCATGATCAGCAAAACAGGAAAAACAAAAGCAGAGCCTTTAGAGGAATAGTAGATATTAGGTGTTTGGGTTTTATCCATAAAAAAACCTAATGCAGGCCAAAAGAAGACTCTCTAAACTTTTTTTTTTTAAGCCCCTTTTTTGTTACCAGACGTCTGAATGTGTTGTAAAGACTCCATCCTTCAGTGACTCCGGGGACATCCAGCGCACAGGGAGCAAACCTTTCCCTCCTTTCCGATAGTAATCTGTCTCGTAGATATCTCTGGTCATGCCAAAATCTGGAAGGCAGGGGAATAAAATGTATGCATCCACACTGCAGAACAATTAACATGTTCTAAAGAACTGGCCCGACCACGAATAACTGCTTCAGCATGAAGTATTTATGATTAGTCAGCAAAATACAGACTGGACCGCTCTAGTCTAGCCCCCTTGGGACCTGACTGATGCTGAACCAATGAATTTACTGGACCATGGAAGGTTAATACTATCTAATACTACAGAGGCTCAACCTGCAGTGCATTTTTTCAGCAATGTACTGTGCACACACCTGGACTCCCAGCACTTGGTCTTGCTCTCACTGAAATCAACAGGAACCTTCCCATTGACTTCTCTGGGAACAGATCAGAACTGGATCATGAGTAATTTAAATGGCCACATTTATGCAAGTTCCATAACTGGCCTAAGTAGCAGTACTGTAGGGTAAGAGCTGGCTCTACATAGCTCTGTAGCAGGGCTACTCAACACGCAGCCCACGGACTGTTTGTTTCTGGCCTGTGGTGCAGTTTGGGTTTACATGGGGCTCAACAAACAGCCCACAGGCGGGGTTCTTTGAACATGCCCTCTTCTGGGAACAAGCTCCACAACAGCGAGGCGTCTCCCAGGCACGGTGAGCACTGAAAGACGCAAGCGGATGGGCTGGCTGGTACAGAGAAGTACACGGTGTCAGTATTTCTAGCCTCCAGGGAGGAGGTGCCAGGAGTGCTGGGGCATTGTGTGAAAAGCTATTTGCATATATCTGCATGAACATGAAACCACACTTAAGTTGCGGCTCTCAGCATGTGCTGTGAGTATCATTGGGGCCCGCAGGGCTTCCAAAGTTGAGCAGCTCTGCTCTGTAGAATCATAGAACACTGAAACTGGAAGGGACCTCGAGAGGTCATTGAGTCCAGTCCCCTGACCTCATGGCAGGACCAAGCACTGTCTAGATCGTCCCTGACAGGTGTTTATCTAACCTGCTCTTAAATATCTCTAGTGATGGAGATTCCACAACCCCTCTAGGCAATTTATTCCAGTCTTGAACTGCCCTGACAGGAAGTTTTTCCTCATGTCCAACCTAAACCCTCCTTGCTGCAATTTAAGCCCATAGCTTCTTGTCCTATCATCAGAGGCCAAAGAGAACAATTTTCCTCCCTCCTAACATCCTTTTAGATACTTGAAAACAGCTGTCAGTCTCTCAGTCTTCTCTTTTCTAAACTAAACAAGCCCAGTTCATGAAGAAACCAGAACCGTTTTCGCCTACTCTAGAGATCGCTCTGGCCAGTGGCTTCAGTTTGTCACATTCAGCACATTTACACTCAAGCTAAAATCAGAAAAAGTGTTTGAACAGTTCACATTATGATGACAACTGTGCTCCTTGTACACTGAACTCTGATTCTTTTCCTCTAAAAATCTAAGGGGTAGCATACTTTTTACTATAGCACTGGTAGCTCATCTCTCACGATTTCAAAGTGGTTTTTATTTTTTGGCAATAAACCATTCCCCTTCTCTTCGCAAAGTTAATTCAATTTCCTTTAATATCTTTTATTTTAGATCTCACGAAAGGCTATACACAGAACACACAAGTAGATAAACACTGAATTTGGACCAAATCCCTAATATTGAACACTCAGATGAGCTTAATTACAAGCACATCTAAAGGTTTCCACAACTCCAGTCTAATGTTGTCTTGTGCTCAATTCTGCTGAACTAAATTCCAGAAAATACTTGGTTTTTTAAAGTGGTACTTGAATAATCACCACATCCAAAAGGCTGGGCTCTGGATAAGCAGATTTAACCCTATAATTTTTATTTGGTTTGTGGAGTAATCCAGAATAAAGTGATTTGACGGTCATTGAGCTCTTGCTGCTGAAATGTCAAGGCTAAGGTGCAATTCACTTGAACCCAAACTCAACACATCTGGGCTTTATCAGAGTGCAAAGCAGCAACAGGAGGTGAGAATTTTTCAATACTGGGCCACCCCCCGAGGGCTGGGAAGAGTGACTGCTGCTTCTTCGTGTTCCTTTCACAGTAACAATTCAATTCAGTGCCGAGCGCTCTCTGGACCTGAAACCATAGTGAGTCTTTAGACAGAACATATTCATCCCCTGAATTACATACTCGACTGACACTAACAATTCAAGGACATTCAGATGGCTTTTTCAGTGCTGACCATAGGATTATATGCCTGTTTCATGTGAGTTTAAGGAAGAAAGAAAAGAACACACACCTCCAATTTTCACAGTGAAGTCTTCGGCCACCATGCAATTCCTTGCTGCGAGATCCCTATGCACAAATTTATTGGCATTGAGGTACGCCATGCCATCAGCAATCTCTCCTGCCATCTGAATCATCTTCTTCAGAGTTGGAGGCACCTGGCCTGGGTTATTCTGAGCAAGATGAAGCAGGCAGAAGTGTGAGGAGGGGGAAGAAATTATTTCCACTTCAAAAACAGCAACCTGCTTTTCTTAATCAGGTCACCGCATGTCAGTGTGACAACACCAGGACCAGTCTGAACGAAAACTTATGATTATTAAGACCATTGCATCTGCTTAGTGGGAAAATCACATCTTTTCTCTCCACCCACATAAAGCATGGCTACAAACACCCCCCCAATTAGCACCTGTATAGCAGCACATTCAATTTTGGAGAATACAAACAGGTTTTTCTATTCAAGTTCCCTTTTCTTCTAAACGTTTTAAGGAATCACCTTCATGCTAGGCTTCAGAATTTTAGACTGTGTGCGCAACTATCAGCATAACCAAAACAGATGATGTTACAAACATACTATTAAATTATTTCCCGACATCCAGTGACATGATGCCTCCTGACTTACTTATATACTCCTAAAAAGGGTGTAAAGCTCTACAGATAACTTTCATGAAACAGATTCACTAAAGACATCTGCAGTTTTTCTTGCCATAGCTATTAGTTGTGCTGTGCTGGAGGGTAAGGCTATGTCTACAGAGTTTTTGCAGCAAAAAGGGCCATTTTTCTGCAAAAACTCAGAGCGTCCACACCTCAAGTGCGTTTTTGCGCAAGAGAATTTAAAGTACAGAGGGTTTTTTTGTGCAACCGGTATTCCTCTTTCTGCAAGGAAGAAGACTTTTTGCGAAAGAGGTTTTTTGCAAAAAGGTGTGCGGGGACAGGGAAGAAGGGGTTTTTGTGCAAAAAGAGGAAAGAGCTCAGATGTCCTGGTGGCCATTTTGTGCATACCAATCAGAGCTTATTTCCGAGAAAGCATCCATGCAGTGTGGACGCCCTCTTTCGCAAAAGCGCATAGTTTTTTCGACGCGCTTTTGCAGTGTGGACACGCTCTTGCGCAAGTAGTTTTTGTGGAAGATCTCTTCCGCTAAAAACGAAGCCTGCAGTGTAGACGTAGCTTCACATTTTAAGGTGTTTGCATATGCCTCAGCAAACTACACTGTGGCTTAACATCTGCCAGTCCAAATCTGATTAAGACTTATACCTCTGGCTGCAAAATACCCAGTGTTGGTTAGTGGGTCGAGCATGAAAGTAGGAGCCACAATTCCTGAGCAGATCAAATCACTGGACTTTCACCAGTGGGGAGTGTGAAAGATGTTAATGATACATGTCTACAGTGGATGGCGTTCGGGTTTAGTGTGACTGCTCATCTCTCTCAAAAAATGTGTCACGTGTTTATTATGATGAGTCTTTCCACTCCTTCCCAGTTCCTAAACGTAACCCATCCCCCAGAAGAGAACCCATAGGAATGCATCTAAGGAAACCCGAGAAAAATTATCCATCTGAAAGCACATGACTATTATACCCAACTGACAGCAAGAAACAATGTAAGCTGGGACCCTTTGTGGAAGGGCCACATGCCTGCAGATGGGAAAGAAGGGCACCTGCCATGGGACCTGGCAATCCTAAAGGGCCCGGAGCTCCCAGCTGTGGCCGCTGCTACTTCAAGCTGCGACCGCTGCTCTGGGCTCTTTAAATGGCTGCCAGATCATAGGATGCCTGAAAGGGCTGCCAGATGGACCGAGGGGTACCCGGGTCCAGGCAGTGCTGAGGGCTTGTTGCCCTTAGCCCCACCTCTTCTACGAATGTGGAGCTTCCCCCCCCAAAAAAAAATTCTTGCCCAGCAGCATGGTGAGGCTGTCACCTCCCCTGAAGGACCATGACTGCGTGGTGAAAACAACACTGCATGAACTTGCGGCACTCCGTCAGGTAGGAGCCAATTCATTGCATCTACCCAGAATGAAGAGGTAAGTGTGAGCAGCACTGTAAGAGGAGTCTTGAGTAAATCTCGCACCATGGTTCACAATGGTGAACAGAAAGACAACTCACAACGTTACGTATTTTATAAACCACTTCTCAAAAAGGGGAGCAAGAGGTCAGCACACAGAGGGGTGAACTGGAGTAAATCGTTCTTTTTGGCATTTCTCGTTTATCATCTCCCAGATCCTTGCCTCCCAAGTCTACTGAATTCTGTTACTTTCGCTCTTGGTAAGCTCCTCAACAGAATCCACGATCTGCACCTTTAGAAGAAACCTTTGCCCTCAGTGCTGATTGTTATGTAGCTCATAGTCCCATTGAACGATGGGGGTAAACAACAATATTTTTCAGCCATTTGTTTCATGAAATGCTGTTCATTTTATATCCAATTTTCATTTCACACATACCAGTTGTTTGCTCTTTGTTGCTGTAAATTATTGACTTCACCAATGCTACTTTGTGAAACAGAGGGTCACACAAAAGTGCAGGCACATTTTATACATGGCCAACCTTAATTTCCAAAGGAAGTGACTTTTTCATCTTCTTTCCTAACCTTTCCGACACTGTAATGTACGTGAATGATTTTATCTATTAAACTGACATGGCTGAATATTAAACACAATATAGACGTATGACGAAATATTAGTGTCTATTGCAAAATGCTCGGTCATAATTTATATTAAAAACAAAGAGGCAGCAGGCAGAGCTTCATCTGAGAAGAATTACCCTACTTATGCATTTTTTTTAAATGACTGTACTGTTTTGCAGCTTTATCACGAGTCAGATTGGGGGGGAGGAGATTTACTTCAAATCTGAACAGGCGGCACTCAGTAACATAGGGGTGGGATAACACATTATTCCATAGCCCTTATGAAACACACTCTTTGGCCATTAAGAGCAGCAGGTCACACAACAGCCGGAAGTTCATTAACAAAGTTCAAAGAGGAAAAAAAAGATAAATTGCAAGAAATAATACAAATATCCTTCTGTGTAAGTATTTAACTCCTTTAAATGCAGGGGAGTGAGCAAAAAGTGAAAAGAACTCAGCAAAGATTCTGAAGAGCCCAGGCATGAAGGCTCCAGAAAGTGCAGCAATGACGTGATGAAGTTGATGGCTCAGTAACTGGGCTCCAATTACATCTAGTAATGCAGGCTAGCTGCCAGCAGGGCATGTAAATTACGCATGATGCTTAGCTCATGGATTAAGAAAAAGAATTGAAGATTAAGGGAAATCTTGTGACACAATGAAGATACCTGTGGGCTTTCACATACGACAATTAGAAGTAAACCAGAGTTAGTCTTGCATTTCTGCCATGGTTTACTTGGGTAAATATGTAATTTAACCAAGACAGGACCACAACCTTTAAAATAAAAGGGGAGGAGAAAATAAGAGATGAATAAAATGAGACAAAATGGTCTGGAGAAACCCGCTAACCTACGTGGCGAAAGCTGGGGGTATTGTATACTAAAGCACAGACCAGGGAATTTCAGCTGTGCCTGACCAAGGCAGGCAGCTGGATCAATGTGGGAGAGGAAGATTTACATCAGAAATCGCTAGCAAGTACAAATGCTCCAAACAAGGCAGGAAACTGGCAGTCTGGGGAAGGGTGGTGTTTTGAATTCATCACCTTTTCTTGCATGCGGAGGAAAAAAATCCAATTCCCATGCTTACCTCGGTGTCTGGCCGCAGAGATCTCAGATAACTCTTGAGATCCCCGCGCGTCATGAGCTCCATGATCACCAGTGTTGGTTGGCCTTGGGAGACAACTCCAAGCAGCCGCACCTCAAATGGAAAAGTTCAGATTTTACCCAGCAGGTAGGACTAATTATTACTAGGAAAATTATTAACTACTTACAAGCCCTATTATTAACTAGGCATGTCTGCATTCTGGAACCAACACCCACAGATCTCTGCAAGAGTTTGGAAAAGATTGGGATCCAAACTACGTGGCAGTGGCCATCCCTCTTAATGCATTATCATGATACATGTCACTAGAGCCATGTGATAAAGAAACACTTCCCTTTAGTCTGCTGCTTGAGGAGGTCTTGAGACTCTTGGGATCATGGAGTCAATCAAAGCAGGCACTTGCTACCTTTAACTATGGTTAGGTGAAAGGAAGCTGTGCTCCATTTTAAGCAACTTACCACATGATGGCAATTGAACTCCTTCATGACTGAGGCCTCATTTAAGAACTCTATCCGTTCACGCATGCTTGCAGACTCATTGACAGTTTTGATGGCTACCCGAGTTTCTGGCTCATCCTTCACCACTCCCTTAGCTATTCCCTCGTAAACCATTCCAAAGGAGCCTTGCCCAAGCTCCCGGCACATGGTAATCTTCTCACGGGGCACTTCCCATTCATCCGGAACATACACTAGAGTTAAAGAGAACCACCAGTGACATTCCACACATATGCAGATGCATGAATCAGGTGAAGACAAGTGACTCCAAAGGGAAAAAACCCAGCAATGAATTATGAGTAGGAAAAAGGACACAGCATGAGGACATAAGCATCAAGCTAGATATGCAATTGTTTCCATGGTCTTTCTCAAAAAGTCTACCCATCTTAGGTTTTTACACAGCACCTGCAGGTTCAAGATTTTTTCTTACCTTTCGGCAGAGAAACCAGCCTTCACAGTCCAAGGAAGGACACTACAGTCTCCAAACAACATCAATGCTATATGTTGCTAGCTATCAAGCTACCTTGCGTGAAATGATCTCTAGGCAGAGGTCCTCAACTGCATGCCACTTTCAGTTCTATCTAGGACTCTGATTACTTGATTGCTACCAGCCTAAGGCATACACAAATCTTAAAGGATCACAATTGTGGTGGAGACAGGGAAGCACAATTATGGCACTTGAATAATGGAAAATGACCAGGGAAGAGTTATGTGCAAACTCAGTATACAAACATGAACTGCAAAGCCAACCAGAGTGCGTAGAAGCCTTTTTCAGGCTTTTCTTCTTGGCAACCCTTGTTTTCAGATTGCTCCGTGCAGCAAAAAAATGTGCAAATTTCCATTTCAGCATCTCAAGATGCATCCTCAGGGGACCGATTTTTATAATCACAGGGGAACGGACTCTAGAGTCTAAAAGGTTGTTCGCATCACTTCTGATCACTCACACCCAAAGCCTACTGCTCCCATAAAGACAGGACTTGTGCAGTAGGAACCAGCGTTCCCTCCCATTTTTATGTCCATGTGTAGAATGACTTTTGTTGTTATGTGCACCAGTATGGAGATGATGTATCACAACCAGTCGTTCTGTACATGGATAGCGTGCATGGAGGGGGTGGAGCCGAGAAGCTGAGAGCGGGCCTATGGTAGAAGGCTGAGGTGCAGGAGGATGAGGGCTCCCACTGAAAGCACAGGCTCTGGCATGGGGCTAGGGACGAGGGGTTTGGGATGCAGGAGAGGATTTAGGGCTAGGAGAGACGGTTTGGATACAGTGTAAAGGTTTTCCCTGGGGGGTGAAGTCTCTCTGGTGGGGCTAAGGATGAAGGGTTTGAGGTGCAGACCACCCAGGGGAGAGAACTACCCCCAGCCCTCTCTCATCGGAGCAGCCTGGGGACAGCTGAGAGGTGCCTTGCTGCAGCTGAAGCACTTCTGGGTTGGGGCCAGCAGGGAGAGGCGCCTCTTTCAAAGGCCATGGCAGCTTCAGGGCTTGTGAGGCATCTCTCTTAAGAGGCAGTGAGTGGGGCTTAGCAGGAAGCCGCATGGCCACACAGCTTAGAGGGAATTTAGGTAGCGACCCTAGGAGGAAGACAGGAAACCTCGCTGCTGGGAGGGATTATTGCCACAGGCAAGAAACATTAAGGTAAGAGCGGTCCTGCTCCTGCCACTGCCTATCAATCACCAAGGAAGGGTGCAGAATAGCCACCAGCTCTAGATGCATGCCATTAACGAATGCTATCAGACCTTGAACTAAAATGGTGCCATGGTTGCAAGCAACAGATCAGGGGAAGGTAGCTGCCTCTGTCAGACAGCTGTTGTTAGCTGTTGGAAATTTTCCGATTTTGTAGACAGACAAAAGCACATTGTCTGGCTCGAACCTGAAGAGGGGAGTTAATGTATCAAGCAGATGCTTTTGAAGTCCTGCTCTCCTCCTTTGCCACTAACAAGAACTCTGCAAATATTTAATCTATACAGCATGCGCGCACACTCATTACTTCGGTTGCCAGAAAAATCTAATTCTAGGTATTTCTTACTGATTAATTCTGGATTCTGGGATAATCATTAAAGACTTTCCAGTATGTGCAATACCTGTTACTAAAACAGTAATGATCTAGCCTCACTCACATGAGGGACATAATGGAAAAGAACTCCTAAGTTGAGATCGGCTATAAGTTTATTGTGTAATGTGCAATTAAAAAAAACTGAGTCTAAGGCCTAAGGATGTTAAATTTACATTAACTGGCTAATCAAATAGTTGATGCAATTTTCATCAACTATTCGATAATGGCGTCACTACCTTTAAGTGTAACAACAGCTGTTGCTACATTTTTAAGGTGAAAGCGCTGTGGAGAGCACGGGGCTAGCGGGGGACTCAAACATTCCCAGCTGACCTGGGGCTCCATGCGGTGCTGCTGCTTTGAAATACCACAGGGAGCCCGGTGTTAGACTCCACATGGCATTTCAAAGCAGCAGGGCTGCAGGGACTTCGAGGTTAGCAGGGGAGTCCCCAGTTGACCCCGGGCTCCATCCAGCGCTAACCCTTCCCGCCCCTTGTTGGCTCTTTCGATAGAGGCAGCGGGGTGGGGCAGAGTGACTAGTCAAGTAGTGTATTGCCTGTCCAATGAGCATTTGCTAACATTTTGATCCAGTCACTTTCTCTTTATATTTTGCTGTCCATGCCACTGAATTTTCAGGTGGTGGCTAAGGCAGTAGGATGCTATTTAAATGGCTCACGACATCGGTGCTACTCTGGCAGGGTCTGGAGCAGTGAGCCCTTTAAATGGCCACAGCAATCCAGATAGCTCCCAGGCAACACAGTAGTGGCAGGGTCAGGAGCCCCTGAAATTGCTGCTATTTAAAGGGCTTGCAGCTTCCAGCCCCACTGATATCCCGTTGCATGGCAGCCACCTGGGGTTTAAAGGGTTCCCGGTTGTAGCACTATTCTGGCAGGGGATGAAGTTGAGCCAGACAGCTGCCAGGCAATGTGGTAAGGGCAGAGCCGGGAGCCACAAGCCCTTTGCTGTGCTTCAATTCAAAGCCTCCAGCCCTGGACAACTCTAGGGGAGACTAGCCCCTGTCCCATCCCTTCTGTTCCAGACCCTGCCCCTTCCAGTCACATACCAAAATTCATTAAGTGGCCCTCCTATGAAAATTATTGCCCACCCTTGTCCTTCAGGATATGAGCACAAAGGGAGATAGATGATAGAAGACTTTTGCCCAACAAATTATGTTCGGCAAAAGCCAACATGGTTTCTTTAAAGGGAAAATCATGTCTTACTAATCTATTAGAGTTCTTTGAAGAAGTCAACATGTGGACAAGGGGGATCCAGTAGCTATAGCGTACTTAGATTTCCAGAAGCCCTTTGACAAGGTCCCTCACCAAAAGCTCTTACGTAAATTAAGTTGCCATGGGATAAAGAGGGAAGATCCTTTTATGGACTGAGATCTGGTTAAAAGACAGGAAACAAAGGGTAGGAATAAATGGTAAATTTTCAGAATGGAGAGGGGTAACTAGTGATGTTCCAAGGGTCAGTCCTAGGACCAATCCTATTCAACTTATACATGATCTGGAGAAAGGGATAAACAGTGAGGTGGCAATGTTTGCAGACAATATTAAACTGCTCAAGATAGTTAAGACCAAAGCAGACTGAAGAACTTCAAAAAGATCTCACAAAACTAAGAGATTGGGCAACAAAATGGCAAATGAAATTTAATGTGGATAAATGTAAAGTAATGCACATTGGAAAAAATAACCCCAACTATATGTATAATATGATTGGGGCTAATTTAGCTACAACTAATTAGGAAAGAGATCTTGGAGTCATCGTGGATAGTTCTCTGAAGACGTCCACGCAGTGTGCAGGGGCAGTCAAAAAAGCAAACAGGATGTTAGGAATCATTAAAAAGGGATAGAGAATAAGACGAAGAATATCTTATTGCCCTTATATAAATCCATGGTGTACACACATCTTGAATACGGTGTACAGATGTGGCCTCCTCATCTCAAAAAAGACATACTGGCATTAGAAAAGGTTCACAGAAGGGCAACTAAAATGCTTAGGGGTTTAGAACGGGTCCCGTATGAGGAGAGATTAAAGAGACTGGGACTTTTCAGCTTGGAAAAGAGGAAACTAAGGAGGGGATAGGATAGAGATCTATAAAATCATGAGTGGTGTGGAAAAAGTGAATAAGGAAAAGCTATTTACTTGTTCCCATAATACAACAACTAGGGGCCACCAAATGAAACTAACGGGCAGCAGGTTTAAAACAAATAAAAGGAAGTTCTTCTTCACACAGTGCATAGTCAATCTGTGGAACTCCTTGCCTGAGGAAGTTGTGAAGGCTAGGACTATAACAGGGTTTAAAAGAGAACTAGATACATTCATTCATTCATTCATTCATGGCTATTAGCCAGTATAGGTAAGTAATGGTGTTCCTTGCTCTGTTTGTCAGCAAACGGAGTTTTAGGTTGTGTCCTATTATAGCGCTGCATCTTTCAACATGGTGCTTGACCTGATCTCACACAATAAAATGTATTAAAGTAAAAGCATCAGCGGCTTAAGGCCACACTTACCATCAGAAGCACTGAAGTACTCAGGGTTCACAGAAGCATAAAGCACTCCATTGCCTAGTCTGTCACTGTTCCTGTTAAAAAAGAAATTGTTTCTTTTTTCCATCCTTAAACCACAACTCATATTTCAATCCATCTTTTCCTGGGCTTTGCTGCTGTTTGCTCCACCACATGTCCAGTTGCCTCTTACATGTGGCACGTGGAAGGGTTTTAGGATAACATGAGCAGGGATCTGACTTCATTGATCTACCAGAGTCCACACTGGCAACACCATCAACTGAGAAAATGACCTGAATCAGTCTTCATGGGAGACCCCTTTCTCCATTTCCATTCCAGCTGTGTTTACACCACATGTGCACCAGAGAAGACAGAATATAACACATTTTAATGGGCTAGGTTCTCATGTTTCTTTTTATGGCAGAATGTGAGTACACAGATTCCAAGAGCAGAAAGCACCTTTGTGATCATCTAGTCTGACCTCCTGTACCACACAGGCTGTGCAACTGCACCCAAATTATTCCTAGAGCAGAGCTTTTAGAAAAACATCCAAAAGGTGTTCCCCGCCCCCAAATTGATTACATGAGGACATGCCATGCAAGAGAGATCTGTGCTCAGGACCATTCTTGGAACTCTACGTTTTCAATGTGGAGAAGATTAAATGGGTTTGGGATAGTCTAGATTTTAGGAAACATGCTACATTAAACCTATTTTGTGATCCAGCATTGGCAAATTAATAAACAATCATCAAGGCTCTGTAAAGGAGACCAAACATGAGCTGGCAGGGTTTGCACAAGACAGAGGCTGGGTGAGAGAGAAGTGTCAACCAGCAAATCTATAAAACCAGAGTAAACCATGCCAGTGAAACCGATCTATCCAGTACAGACACAGAGATTTGGTAAATGTTATGTGTACAACGAATTTAAACAATAGTTAATGGGAGCTTTCCCAGTAAGTGTATCCGAGGGTAGGAGAAAGGATTAGTGCGAATTTCTACATGCAAAAGACAGCCAAAGCTTATTGAAACATTGGTGCAAATTCTAAATTTCTGCCTGTTTCTTCTCTAACAGATATCCATTTCCAAAAGACCCTCCAACCTCTCTCTCCAGCTTGGCATGGTAATGAAAACCCTCTCCATTATTAGACAGACAGATGTTAACTAGTAACTTGAAACATTCTCTCCCTATAAGAGAAAATCTGCTTTAGCTTATTTTGCATGGTCCACTAAATACAAAATTTGAACTTTCTCTTGGGAATTGATTTCAAAGTGAATATTTCCTTCCCCAGTTAAGTCTCCCTCCAGAGTGTATGCAAGATCTCACCTCTTTTTGTTGAAGACGTACAGCATTATTAGCAACCCTCCAATGACCAGCAGCACTGCAATGGGGAGCACAATTATCAAGTGCAGGAAATTCCCATAGTCTGCCGCTGAAATAAACAAGAAAACAAAAATTCTTACGTTGCTATAGAATTTCTATCAGCACATGAAGTTTTCAGCCTAAACACTATATTGTCTTACTGCAATGTCAGAGTATGAAGTAGAGAAATTTTTTCCGAAAGACTTCATAATGAGTAATGACTAGAGAACCAGAAATCCATTCTGTTTAATGGAGTTTTGGTTTGACTAGGTATGTTTAAAGTCTGATGTTGATCTTTAAATGACGAATGTATGTTGATCCTTTTAAATTTTCTATATCTATATATAAAGGGAGCATGCACAAACTTTTGGTTGCTCTAATTTCACCACAAAAATCTATCAAAAATTGTTTTTTTTATTTTTTAAATTAAAAATGGAAAAAGAGGGCAGCAGCAGTATTTTGCTTGGCTATATCTAGGGCAGTAAATGTATCTGCTTTGCAAATAGGCAGAAACAAAAATAGGACATGCAGTATGTACAAGAACAAGGCAGCATGTTTATGGTAGCCATAAAAACACTGGGTGGAACTTGTGTATGTAATATATTGTTTTATCAATGTATTTGTGCAAAAGAATTCCATCATTTTCAGTATCACTACCTCTCTTGCATCAACAAGTTGATCTTCAAAGTGCCATACTAAGGGGAAAAAAAGCTAAAAATGAAATTTTAACACAGCTCCACGCTAATTAACTTGGTTTCTTGTATCACTTTAACGCATCCAGTAAGTATTTCATATTGCCACATGAGTTCCAGATTCCAATTCATAATACTGCCGCACGGTTATTCCTAGCAATACATTTTCACCCAATATTAATATACCACATAGACAACATGGACTAAGCTATACATATATATGTACATACACACCCACACAAAAGCAAAAAACAGGACCTAGCTTCAAAAGGTATTTTTCATTCATAGAATGTTTCCTATTAAGAGAATGCACAACAGCTCCCAAAGAAACATGCACACCTGGGGAAATATACAGAGAACTTAGGAAGGATGTGCAAAGTCCCAATTAGGCATGCAAACAACTGGAATAATTGAAGATAATTCAATTGAAGACAATTCAATAATTGAGATAATTGAAGAAGTAAACAAAAAACCAGACATAGTTTGACCCAACCTATAAAATGCCTCTTACGTTTGGGCTGTACATAGAAAGACACTGGTTCAGTCCATGATCCATTTCCAGCTAGAGAGGTGGCTTGAACTCTGGCAGAATAGTTTCCAGGATTTAGATGAGTTAGTTTGGCTCCTCCAAACTTCCTGTATTCCTGTCTAGAAACACATTCCCGTTTCTCCTGAAAGAAAAAGAACAGCTTGTACTACACGTAAATATTTTTATACTTGTAATTATCAGAAACTCAATAAGGTCACAGATTTCGCTGGACTTTTCATTGCATTCATAATTTAAGCTTGGTTTTTTTTCCCGACTAAAATCAGAACAGTTCTCTTTTTTTTGTGCACTTTAAACACATTTGGAATCCAACAATGGTAAAAGTAAGTAAAACAAGGGAAGGGTTGTAATATATTGGTTAGAAATAGAGGCTGAGCATCAGGATTCCTTGTTTTTATTTCAAGTAACATCACAGCATGCTGGACAAGTCACTTAAATCTTCACTCACTTGTAAGTCGAGCATAATGCTTATAAACTGGTCCAATAGGTATGCTGCAAGTCTTAATAGCTACAGATCCTTGGATGAATGTTGCTGCTAAATGCACTATTAAAGGGAAAACTTGTTGCTACACAGTGACTGCCCTCACAAATTTGCAAAGTATTGTAAGTGTGAAATCTTAAGGACCTTTTTAATTTCTTTTAAGTGAATGATCTTATTACTAAAGCATCCCCATGGCACATGGATCCCAAAGCACGCTACAAATCATACACAGACAAAAATTACCCTCCCAGCTAGAAAATGTTTGCTGATCCAGACTGAAAAAAAGGAATTTTTTAACAATGCACACCAATGCTTAATAATTTAGGAGATAAATTCATTTGAGACACTGGAGAGTAATGCTCCGAGTCTTGTGAAAAGCAGCATATTGGCTTCAATAACCACCTCAGCTATGTGTGTCTGAGACCTTTACACCACATTAAGCCATTCAATAAATACTCACTGAAAAAACAAAACCAACACTACTGTATCCACAACAGAGTTATCTCAATGGGACCTCCATCCAAGCACTGACATTCTGACCCACCACACTTCGTGGGGGCTGGCCAAATCACAGATAGTTTGTCCTTCCTATCTGTGATATTAGTTCCCCCTTCCCTTGCCAAACAAATGTGCCTTTGATGAAATCCTCACCTCTCCATGCTGACCATATTTGATTTCATACATCAGTATCAATCCATTAGGGTTTACAGGTTCTGACCACTTCAGATAGACAGCATTATCTTCTTTGCCTTCCCATGTTACGGTTCCTGGAATGTTATCTGCTCCTTCTACAAAATAATGACACAAGTTAATGGTGTGCAAACAGCACTGCCACCTGAATTATTGAGACAATGGCTGCGTCAAATTCAGTGAACTTATTAAAAAACAAAATGCCTCCATAGAAGCTAGAACAGCACAATAAATATTGTTCAGAACCCCAGAGAGCAAGAAGTCAACACTCGAAGACTTGTTGGAGAGATTAGTATATTGCCTGAAAAATACTGTTACAGATGATACAGTGCATGGGCCTAAAAACTTCAGGACACAGTAAGTGACCTAATACAAAGTACGGGCTGAAATACTTAGTATATTAGTGAGTGGTTCTTTCTCCAGATCTCCAGCATGCTCCCCAGGATAGTGAGTGAAAGTCATTCTGATCTAATGGCTGTAGAAGGTCCAAAGTAGCAGCAGCAGGAGTTGCATTTCTGCAGATCTACTTAAAGAATAATGTCCACGTCACAGGATGCACAGAGAGGCTTGTCAGAAAGACACACACAGGTTGGGATGTGCATGGAGGTCAAAACTGGATCCACTGTCACAGTCTGGAATGCCAGTGTAGGGACAGTATCTGGACTGCATCCAGTCCCAGCTTATTAGGCAAGACATCAGTGCTCTTGGCATTATCCTTAGCACTTTTGGTTTTTGGAAATTATTCAGCAGGCTGCGTAGGAACTATGAATTACGGTCCAGCCAGGCAATATTTGTACTAGGTTCAAAAGCCCATGTAATCACAATGGCCCTCGATTCTGAGAATCACGGGCTAAAAATTTGGAAATGTTTGTTTCCTTTTCGCTGATGTCATGGATTTCCCTACTTGAAATAAACAATACCTCTGTATTGTACAAGACAATGGCTGGCTCTGGATTACGTTAGCATTTACTTCCAGAAACAAAGCAAAACCACTACCATTTTGCATAAAAAAGAAACCAGATGTCTGCTGGATTTAAGACGGCATATGGGTTTCTGCTGAAATCAGGTCTGCCCTTCTTAATAGATGAGCAATTCGTATGAGCTCGAGTCTTACTACCGTGACTGCAAACGATTGAGAGAGAACCCAATATTCCGTATTTGGAGTAGGCTAGCTGTCTGTAATAGGTCAGGAAGAGGGACACGCTATTGTTTCTATTCTCAGACTGGAGGAGTACACTAGCATTCGTGGCAGAGGAAACATTTTGTTTTCAGGGCAAACATTTACAAGGAAAACTCAAACAATTGCAAACAGGCCAAAGTGAATTGATTAGAAATGGCAAACAAATATCCCTGGACTGAAGCATATCAGGAAAGGCATCCTTAAGCCTCCTGAATCAGTGTGACTGAAGGATTCAGAAAACCGTTTCCACACCCTCCTTGTTCCTGTCCAGGGATTTGCAGAGTTGTCTGGGCAGACAATGGGGATTGTTTGCCTTCCTCTGCTGCAGTGAACAGTGTTATAAGCTGAAAGGCTGGCTGGACTCTGGAGTTTATGGGTAGGAGGTGTTGACTGAGTGTGACAAAATTTTACGTAAGTCTCATTTAGAAAAATATACTTATTCTTAGAAAAAAAATCTTTGAAAACCCCTATTTTTAATATTTGGTTTTAAAACCTTTGTCTCCTGCCGAGTGCCTAAGATACATGTAACTGCTCAGAAAATGAAACAAAGCTTGAAACTCTGGTGATCGTACCTGCGGGCATTGTTCTCGCAAAGACAAAGTTGGAGGCACTGCAGCCAAGTGTCTCTGCTTCATGGTTGCAGCTGTGAATATCGATACGGTAAAGAGTAAAAGGCTGGAGATGGGAGATAAGCGTCCTCTCCCGCCCTTCCACTTTGCTCTCATAGAATGGGTATTCCATCTCACTCTCCTCCACATCTGACACGTTGGCAAAGTGATCTGGCACTGTTGTGTTCCTGTTCCGACTGGCGTGAGTGCTATTCATGATCCGGAACACATCCCTGCGCTTCCGGTCCGGTCTGCAGAGAACAAGAGAGCAATATACAGAAACAGATGATGCTAATACTGTATTTTAAACTTACCAAGGGTCTGTCAGGAAAGGCAAGGAAAAACAGTAAATCAGAAAATACGAATCTAATCAGCTTAAACGAGACAGAATATACAAATAAAAGGATAAGGAAATCATTAGATGGTTTATCAGAACCTTCTGACTGCTTTGGAAACAGTCAGAACCAACACATCCCATTTCTGACTGCTTCGGAAACAGACCCAACTTATCTGAGGCCCAAGTTCTGCCCAGCATAATCATCTACAACTTCTACTGAGCAAGCCCCACTGAAGTCTTAAATGGCAAAAAGGGGCCCAAGGTTGTTAAATGAACAAACTGGATCCATATTTAATGATGGTAATGCTGAAGCCTGCTTTAGAGGCTCAAAATACAATCAGATGGCAGAGGCTTAAAAGCTCACCTCCTGCATCAGAAAGCCTGCTGGATATGAATTGTAGTGCTCCAAGGTGGTGTTTAATTTTCTGGTGATGATGCAATTATAGTAATTAAAAGCTGCTTAATTTACTGTGTTGAGGAAGCAAACCAGAGATGTAAACTAAAAGCTGTGGAACGTAACAGCTGTGCCCTGATGGATGCCATTTTCCCTTCATTTTTCAAACCTATCTGTAATGAGGCTTCTGTAATTGACCCACCTTATGATTTGAGAAAAATCAGCACCATCTAGTGCATGGGTTCTCAAACTGGGGGCGTGAAGACATT